GGTGTATGCTTTTCCATTGAGTGTTAACATGGTGTATGCTTTTCCATTTACTTGTAATCTGTGTATCTTTAGACTAACGTGGACTTCTTATGACCAACATACACATTGTTAAATATATTCTTGATCCACTTTGATATTTTTCCTGTTTAAAAACACTTGCCCATTATTATGTGTTGGGGGTGTACATGATGTAACGCATGCATGGGTGTACATGCTGTAACATGTGTGTGGCGGCCAGAGGACAACTTACAGAGGTTGTCTCTTGTCTTGCATCGTGTGAGTTCCAGGAAATCAAACTCAGGTCATCAGGCTTGGTGGCAAGAACGTTCACCTGAGGAGGCCCTCACAGGTCCCAATCTCTGTCACTTGACTGGTCCATTCAGACTATAGACACACAAAGTGTTGATCCAGGTGGATTCATGTCTACTGCATCTGCTCCTGTTTTCTATCCATCAGCCTTGTTCTTTGCTCCTTTTTTTGGTTTTCCACTAGCTTCCTGCCTTTTATCATTTTAAAATATGAATTTTAGGACTGGAGAAACGGCTCAACGGTTAACTCATAGGTCCTGAGTTTAATTCCCAGCAACCCCATGGTGGCTCACAACCATCTGTAATGAGATCCGGCGCCCTCTTCTGGCCTGCAGTCACGCATGCAGGCAGAACATTGTATATAAAGTAAGTAAACAAATCTTAAAAAATATTAATTTTATTTTATGTGCACAAGTGTTTTTGCCTATGTGTATGTGTACTGTGTGTATAACTAGTGTCTGGGGAGGCCAGAAGAGGGCGCCGGATCCTCTAGAACTGGTGTTAAAGGAGGTTGTGAGCCTCCATGTGGGTGCTGTGAGCTTGACCCAAGTCCTTCCTCTGCAAGAGCAGCCAGTGCTCTTAACCACTGACCCATCTCTCCAGCCACACAGTTAAACATTTTAAAGACTCTTTTTAAAACTGTTTTCCATGGAGTTTGTGACATACATTTACAGCTATTCCAAGTAATTTTCAAATAACATTCCCACGAGTAGTGTATTACCTTACAACAACTAAGTCCTATGACTTCTTTCCTGCTCCTGTACCACTGAAGTACACAGACCCACACAGTCCAAGTCATTGTGACTCTCTGTATTTAATCTCATATTACATGTATCTATTTGTGTGTGTGTGTGTGCGCGCGCGTGCGTGCGTGCGTGCGTGTGTGTGTGTTTGCATGAATGAACACATTCCACAGCCTGTCAGAGGACATTAGAGAGTTGGTTCTCTCCTTTCATCCTGTAGGTCCCAAGGATCAAATTAAGGTCATGGCAGAACACGCTTTCTGGGACATCTATCTAACACCTTAGATTGTTTATTATTTTTTCTGAGGTTCAAATATATGCACGCCTACGTGTAGTTTGAAACATTTATGCTTTGTGGCATTTTCTGGGCTCCTTGGATCTCTGCTGTAGTGTCTGGATGTGGGGGATGTCCCTTATTATTCTTTCTTATAGATTTTCTTTTCCTTTTTTCTCCTTTGGCGTTTTCACTACTGGCACATTGCACCTCTGTACTCACACCTCTGAGTTAGGCTATTCAGGTTTGTTGTTTTCTTTGATTTCAGTTTTGAAGATTGCTATGGCTTGCCTCCTTGTTTGTCCATGATTCATGCTGAAGCTTAACCCTCCCGTGGTAGTATTAAGCATTGGAACCTTTGGGGAAGTGATTAAGTCACAATGTTTCTTTCCTCATGAATGAAACTGAAGTCCTTATAGTCATCAGAAATCTGCCTGCCCCTTCTCTTATCTCACTAAGTCTGTCATTCTTCACAAAGACTAAGTCATCCAGATCCTTGATCGTCTTGGACGTGTAGCCTCTTGAACTGTAACAAATAATTGTGTACTGTTTATACGTTGTCTAGTACGGGGTGTCTATTACACCACAAAGAGCAGATCAATACAAGCTTTATCCATGCACCCTCAGGGTTGCCGATTCTTCCATCAGCAGTGGAAGCCTGTCACAGGAAGCGTGCCAGACAGACCAGGAGGGAGAAGGGCACACTCCCAGCAGGATGATGAGTATGCAATGGTGGTGCTTGCTGAAGAGTGGGAGCAGGTTGGGAAGGGCTCTTCGGTCCTAAAGTACCTACTGAGACTCCAGGGGTGGCGCTGGGGTGTCACTGGTGGCTGGGGACACAGCGTTTCATCAAGCCCTCTGCGTTTTCAGAGATTCCTAATGTAGCTCTAACTACTTGAAAAGCGGAGACCTCCATTGTCCACATGGAACGTGGGTTGGCTTTTATTCAAACTTCTGTGCTTGGGGTGGAAGACAGGGATCCCCATCCTTTGCTGCTCCCCATCACCCTTCTCGCACCTGCTCGTATCTGTCTTCATCCAGCAGGGCCCTTGGTATCTGGGTCACAGTCACAATCGCCCCTGTGCTGTTTGTCAACTTAACATAAACCTAGACAAATCTAGGAGGAGGAACTGAAGGAAAGCCTCCATCAGATTGTCTGTAGGCAAGTCTGTAGGACATTTTCTTGATTAATGATTGATGTGGGAAGTCCCACCCACGGTGGGCGGTGCCATCTTTGGGCAGATGGTCTTGAGTTGTATAAGAAAGTAGGCTGAGCAAGCCAGTCAGCAGTGCTCCTCTGTGGTCTCTGCTTACGTCCCTGCCTGGAGCTCCTGTCCTGACTTCTGGTGACTTCCCTATGATGCGGAAGTGTAGGCCAAATAAACCCTTCCTTCTCCAAGTTGTTTTGGTCATGGTGTCTTATGGCAGCAATAGAAACCCTAACTATGACAGTCTCCCTTCCCTTGCCTTGTACCTACGGGGACATCCCACTAGTTCCTAGCCTGCTTGCCTGACGTCCTCAGCTTCTGACCTCGCCATACCCTCAGTCGGCATGGCTGCTATTCAGAGTTTGCTCCCTCAGCCATGCGTGCCTCATCCAAACCCCCTTTGCTTTAGCTGCTCCATCAGGGATGCCCAAGACTGCCTCCTGCACCTTGCATGACTTCCCTCCCCATCTTCCTTGCGTGACTTCCCTCCCCATCTTCCTTGCGTGACTTCTCTCCCCATCTTCCTTGCGTGACTTCCCTCCCCATCTTCCTTGCGTGACTTCCCTCCCCATCTTCCTTGCGTGACTTCCCTCCCCATCTTCCTTGCGTGACTTCCCTCCCCATCTTCCTTGCATGACTTCCCTCCCCATCTTTGTCTCTCAGCGAGACTCATGGTTTGTTCTGTCACACGTTCACATCGTCGTCACCTTTGTGCCAGGTTTGTGGGTCCCCAGCCTGCTGGTTCTGCTGGTGGTCATAGCCATATCAGGTTCTCCAAAAACTCCAGTCATAGACTTCCGGGGCATTTCAAACTTCGAGTATTTGTGCCACAAGCCAATGCTCCCAAGCGCCTCAGGACCCCAGTCTGCCACCCACCTCGCAAAAGTCTCAGTTGCTCAGTCAGCCCGCTCCTGCCGCAGCGACCATTTCAAAACAGATCTGTTTTACCATGTTGCAGGTGTAGAGGCCGGTCACTCACATAAGCGCAGGTGACTGTCTACCTCATGGGGTTTGGGCTAGTCCCGGGGATACAAGAGAACAAAACCCCCACAGGGCTGGTCTCCAAGATCACTCAGAGGAACAACAGTCACTGACTCTGGCTTCTTAGTGAGAGATCTTTACTAAGTGAGAGATCTTTACTAAAGGTTGATAACAGCACAGCGGACAGTCACGATCAGAGCAGGTGATGAACCTGAACATCCCGCATGGTGGCATGAGCAAGAAACCAGAAGGCCACGCTACTCTTCTTATAGAAGGGAAGAGAGTTCTCTAGAGAGCAATGAGATGTAAGGAAGCTAGCTCAGGCCCTTAAAAGAGCTGGGGAGGAGAGCTACATGGGGGGGGCTCTCCTGGGGTCAGTGAGGTAGGGTGTCAAGTAAGCCTAGTGACGAGTTGACCTCTGAGGGTGTCACCTCAAACTTCAGAAGGAAAAAGGGTTGACCGTCGCCTCAGTACCTGGGGCAATCACTGAAAGTTACTGAGTGGATAACCCCATTCCTGGTTTCCAGATCCAAGGACACCCTCCCTCGGGTGTTTCCACTAGAACTAATGGCATGCCATTAGCAGATGAGCCCAATAAGAAGGCAGGGCTCCTTCATGACATTTTTAAAAAAGATTTATTTATTCAAGTACTTTAATGTAATTTGCATGCATGGCTGCATGGCAGAAGAAAGCATCAGAGAGAAGATCAGATCTCATTACAGATGGTTGTGAGCCACCATGTGGGTGCTTGGAATTGAACTCGGGATCTCTGGAAGAGGGGCCAGTGCTCTTAACCACTAAGCCATCTCTCCAGTCCTCTCTTCATGACATTCTTAAGCAACATCCACATCCCTATTTAAGGAGTGGAAATAGCTCTTGTCTCTTGCCATTCCAGTGCGGACAGGGTTTAGTTTCCTCTGGTGCATATTGTGTGGACCAGGGGTGGACACACATGTGTCTTTGTCCTAGGGCGATTGCAAGGATTCTGGGAGAAACTGAGTTCTTTAGGAACACATGCTGTGTTTGGGGATGGGACAACCTTGAATCCAAGTTTGTGGAGATCTTGCTCACTGGTTTCACAGCGATGAGCCCTGTTAAGAACTGTCAGTCCGGGGCTGGAGAGATACTTAGCAAGGTTAAGAGCATTGGCTGCTCTTCCAGAGAATCTGAGTTGAATCCCAGCACCCACAACTGTCTGTAACTTCAATTCCAAGGCATCTAGTATCTTCTTCTGGCCTCCACAGGGACCAGGTACACATGTGGTGCACAGACATACATGAAATAAAAGAAACCACCATTCTGACCAGCTAGACCCATGCTCTACTTCCCTGGTTTCTGCCTAGCACCCCAAAGCCTGTCATGAGGCTAGCCTGTGTCTTTCTGGTTCATGCCCTACTTCCCTGGTCACTGCCAGCACCCCAAAGCCCAGCATGAGGCTATTCTGGCACTCCAAAGCCCGGCATAAGGCTAGCTCGTGTTTTCCTACCTTTTTCCTGTGGTCTTGGTAGGTTTTCTCCCAGGCTCTCTGCAGGTCCCTATTAGCCCGAGGGGTGATCAGCTGGGAGACTCTATGCATCTCAGATCACAAACTCCAGGCTCCCTTCAGAAAGAAGCAGGCTGAACAGAAGAGCCCCAGCAGAGCTGTTTGTGGGGTCATGTGACTGTTGCCATGGCGCCCAGGCCTGGGGAGAGCCCCATTAGGCCTGTGGAAGCTTTGGAACAATGGATGAGAGCTAAGAGAAGAATAGACTCTCTTTCCACTCGGGTGGTTGTCTTGGGATCTTGATGAGCTCACTGTTGTTTTGAGGAGAGCAAGTCAGCTCCCAACTCCAGAAGAAAATGTGAAGAAAGAGGCCAAAGACTATGTCCTTCACCAGAACTGAGGATAGTGGACCACCTCCCTCTTTGACACCACTGTCTGGACTCTTCCTCATCTGCCATCTGTCACTGTGTTTCTCTGGGAAAGAAACACTTTTGGTCCTGCTTTGGAGTCATTTATAACAATTCGGATCACTCCAGCTGTCCATGGCCAAACCACTCTGAACTCTCCCAATCTTGTGTTTTTGTTTTCTTCTCTTCAGTTGACTTGAGGCACCGTTATACAAAGTATTGGTCATTTTAAGCTATTAATTTTTAAAGTTCATTTTTATTACACTTAATTAATTAACATCAACAGGGCATGTGTGTGCCAGGGCATTCACGTGGAGTTCAGAGGACAGTTTGTGGCGTTTGGTTCTTTTCTTCCACTGTGTGGTTCTCAGGGATCAAACTCAGGCACCAGGTTTGGTGTCCAGTGCTGTTACCTGTTGAGTCATCACGTAGGCCCTAAGTTTTTATTTTTATCTGTCTTGGACTTTCCTTAGCAGCCAAAAGAGTGTCAAAGAGAGAGGCAATGGCGTTTTTATTGCAGAATTCTGGGCTTTGTAACATTTGATATCCAGAACTTGTAGTACAGAATTAGTAGACGTCACTCCCTATCCAACTCTGGTTAAGCGAAGACTAGAAATGGGCACATAGCGACACGACTCGGGGGCACATAGCGACACGACTGGGGGGCCGTCAGTCTGCACAAAACACCAGCTGAGCTTGAGGCAGGATGTAAGGTGTGAATGCAGCCAAGGCATGACCTGCCCCTACACGCTGCGTCATGAAAAGTTCAGTTCCGGAAAAGGCAGGGACACTTCTGCAGCCTCCTTTGCCAGGAGGATTTCTCAGGGCCAGTGACGCCTATTTGCTGGGTCCCTTGAACACCCGGGGTCTGGCTCCGAGCAGTGTGCTACACAATCCTCCTTGAGAACACTCCTGGATTTGTTGTTGTCACCCAGGCACACCTTGGCTCCGCCCCTTGGGAACCTTGGAAACCACTCCTCTCATGGCCAGCATGACCCTGGCTCTGCACAGGTGCAGGAGGTCACTATAAGAGCTGGGTTCTGCCCACTCCTGGTCTCTCTTTCTGCCGGTTCTCTGAGAAGGCAGATAGATCTTGTGTCTGTCTGTCTGTCTGTCTTCTCTCCACCCCCCACTGCCTTCCCTTCTCCCACTGCCCTCCCTTCCCCCAGTAAAACTTCCTTCCCATGTAAGTTCTGCCTGCGTGGTTGTATTCGTCCCTCACCTGTCATGGGATTGGCCAAGGTCCCCCTGGCGCCGCGTGTCATATGTTCTGTCCTTCTCTGAGCTCACCTAGAACAATACATGTGATCTGAATGGTTATCCTGCTGCCAGGGGACCAGGAGTGCAATGTGGCAGGAGATGCGTGGCCTGTGCCCTGGGCCAGCTGGGAAGGGTGAGCGGCTGCCATCAGAGCAGGTGTAAAACCATTCCGTCTGATGTACGAGACCCAACCATCCCAGAGTCGTTGTGGAAAAGCTGACTTGAGCAGATGGGAGGGAAGTGGTTGCTGTTGTTTGAGATGGAGTCTCACTAGGCAGACCAGGCTAGTCTGGAACTCAGAGAGATCCCCCTGCCTCTGACTTCCAAAGTGCTGCGGTTAAAGATGCGCATCGCCACACCTGGAAACTGTGATTTTATTTTTAACTACATTTGCATGACAATTCTTAAAAACTATTTGATGAACACATTCTCCAGCACAGCATTTACAATCAGCTCCCAGACGCCTCTCTGCCCCTGAGCTTAGATCATTCACGTGGCATACAAGCTGTCCCTGTACCACGTCACAGGGCAGAGTTCTTCAGCCTCTGCTCGGCCATCCTGGTTCCCCGTTTCTGGCCATGGCCACAGGTGCCTCTGTGCCGCACCACAGGCTCTCTTGGCTCTGGAAATCTAAGAACATCCACAGCGCAGAACACATACAGAGAAGCAGCAGACCGTGTCTAAGCCACTAAGGATCCGGGATTGGTATCTGATAGGGAGAATTCCCTCGTCCTTCATCATCTAATCCAGGCCAAGCAAGACAATGAATTTGAACTGAGTTCGCTTTTGCTGAAAAGCAGCACACGCCTGACAACTTGGGCTGTTTGGCCAAGAGCTCACAGGCCATGGCGTAGGGGAGTCATGGTTTCAAGCTGAGCTCTGTACCCATGTGGTCTGCACAGTCTCCCTACGGAGGGTCTGCACCCCAATTTCGTCTATTATCTGGCGATAGAATATGGGAGACTTTTGGAACTGGGAAACAACAGGGGACTTTAAAGCAGCCCCCCCTCCCCCCATCCACGTTTGCCCTTTAGTCACTGGTCCTCATCTGCAGGGGAGGGTGTCTCCTGGATTCGAGTGTGGGCTGAACAGGGTGGACCAGAATATTGCTCCTGCTCCTGCTCCTACGCCTTAAGTCCAAGAGCAGTGAGCTGCTGGGTGAGGAGCCACATTGGCACCTAGGGTGAGGCCTGGTGCTGTGTCAACAGCCTGGCAGGGGAGGTTGAGCAGGGGGCCACAGGCTAAACAGGATGTGTGTGTTTCTGAGGCCAGCGCTAAGTCTGGGAATCCTTCCAGAAAGCTCTTCAGCACCCCAGGGAGGGCACGAGGCCCCAGCCTCTTAGTGCTACTGTCCCTGGCTGCCATTTCAATGTGGATGCAATTGTAAAATAAATAGAACTTTTCTCCATCGTAAACACGAGGAAGTAGTTCATAAGTATTTTTGGCAGCGTGTCCCTTCCCCTCAAGAGAAAGGAGAAGACCCAGCAGAAGATAGTGTAACCCCCTTCTAACTGACAAGAAAATTGAAACTCAGGAAAGCTGAGTGCTTTTGACGAGTGAGAAAGTCTTTCAGCCTTCTAGAGAAATGGTGTTGGAGACAAGAAATGGCTGCTATGGTTCTCAGGCAGAGAAATTCCAGGAACAGGGGATGGTTTTCACACAAGGGGCACAAGGGCAGTGTTGTCTCTCAGGTGGCAATAGTCACAGAACGGCGCTGTCTCAGGAAGGAATTGTCACTAGATGGCTCTGTCTCTGGTGGCAACTGTCACTGTAATCACTTTATGTCCTAGAGGGAACTGTCTCCCCGTCCAGCGGTGACCAGCTAGTACCAGGCTGCAGGTAGATTTCCTTCCTTATGGGGAGTCGGTGTGCCTGCAGTGGAGTCCAGGAGACTCAGCAACAGTGCCGGGAATTCTCAGGAGCCACTGGGAGGCTCAGAGTGCATATAAATGGTGCTGGGCCAATTTTACTCCAGTTGGTGAGAATTAAATAATTTCTTCTTCCTGGGGCTCAAAACCCTTTATCGGCAGAGTGTCGGGGACCAGGTGCTCAGCTCAGTTTTAACTGACAGGTGACAATGTATCTTGGCAGAGTGTGCAGCAAAATAGTCCATATCCATACTTCTCTACTCTGACCTGATGCCCTGGGGAAATCAGTCACCTTTGGGCCCTAGTGTCCTTGCAATGGACAAAGGAGACACCTCTTAGAGGTGCCAGGAGAACTGAATAAGATCAAAGATACAAGCACACTTAAAGGGAAATGCCCCCCAAAATCTCAGGGTCAAAGGAGGCAGGGCCCGGTTGCCAATCACTTCCGTCTCCTGGATTCAGATTTTTGATGGACAAATTGCCACATCGCTGTGGAACTTGGCCTGTCAGAAGAAGCACATTCAATGCAGTGTCAGCTTAGACTTGGAAACATAATATAGATGGGCTAAAATCAACTTTCTCATTCTACTTATTGCTGCCACCTGAAGACACAGGTGCCCTTCCACCTAAGTGGCCCCGACTGTTTGGAGACAGCTGTGGTGTATATCCTTCCCTGGTCTCCTTCCGTGGGCTTAGCCAGTGGCTTTCAACCTTCCTAATGCTGTGACCTCTTAATACGGTCCCTCATGATGTAGTGACCCCAACCATAAAATTATGTCACTGTCACTTCAACTGCAGTTTTGCTACTGCCATGAGCCGCAATGAAAACATCTGATATGCAGGATATCTGATGTATGATTTCCATGGGGGGTCTCGACCCACAGGTTGAGAACCACCAGGCTAAGCTTTCTGTCTCTTTAATTGTTCCTCGTGTAGTGAATGAAGTTGCGTTTTGAAGTGGATTCTTAAGCTAGAACAGAGGCGGGAGACACGCATGCCAGGGTTCGTTTGCGGCGGGGTTAACGGGCAATGACCCCAAAGAGGAGCTTTTGCGTCCCAGGAGGTCACTCTGGATGCTGTTTCAGTTTTCTCTCACCTCACCTTACACAGTGAGAACTTTCGCCAGTGGATGAAGTTAGTCCTGTGAGCATGGACCAAGGGGGACGTGGCTGAGAGGTACAAATAGACACCTCGCCCAGCCTTGCCTCATTTTCCACAAGGAAAATGTCCCAGGGGGTGGAGGGCACCAGAACTGTAGCCTCTGGGCTTGATGGGAGCCAGGCCTCTCTATCTGTAATGTTTGCCTCTCCTGCTCTGTGCCAAGCTTGTCTTCTCTGTTCCCTTCCGGTCCCTTCCAGTGCATTTGCTAAATTCCCAAAGCCCCTTGCCCCTTAGACCCGTCATGTTCTTACTTAGGGCCCCATCTTGCCCTCGCCCTGGGCTGAAGGCAATTGGATCTATAGAATGATCTGGAATAAAGTGGAAGTATCTCTCTGGAACCATAATCGGCATTTGCATTAGTAACTCGGAATCCCATGTGCTTTGCTCTGAGCGCCTCCAAAGCAGGGTTGTGGGCATTGTCCTCAACCCTGCGTAGCAGTTGGGAATGGCCATCAGAAAACTGGTA